TAGCAAAAGGCTTGTATTTTTAAGAGTGAACTAGCTATAGCCAGTTTAACTTTAAACCAAACTAGTCTAGGAGAATAATTTTCTAAGAAGCATTTTCCTCCCTTCTCTATCATAAAGGCACTTTCTAAAGCATGAACAGGTTATGCTATTTCTCCATCCTAAGTCTTTCAAGCCACAAAATCCAATCAGTTCTTTCGCTTTGTTGTGCTATTAATACATCATCTCATACCAAGGCATCATAAATTAAACAGAAAATTGTTTTTAAAACATAAATTAAACATGGTCTTAGTTACTCTATTTTTTTTTTTTCTCTTACTCTTTGTTGTTTATTTTATTTACACTTCATTTGTTTTCACCGTCTCAATAATTGGAAGTTAATAATCTTACTAATTATCATGTAAGTAAGTATTGTAGGATGATATTTTGAAGTTTTAAGACTTGTTTCATTACTTGTTGGGAGACACACTTGTTTGTATTTTGCACAACAAGGGCCTATTGGACCATGACTAAACTAAAAAGTCTTCAATGTTCTCAGTATCTTATTGGGCCATAAACTACATGTATTCAAACCTTGTGAATAAGGTTGTGCTCTTCCTCTTTAGTCAAGAGGGTTTCAGCCAGCTCTTTGTGAGTTGCTGCTTACTCTTGCTAATTTAAAGCAAGTTCTCATTCTTTGGTTTTTTTAACCAATATCTTTAAAGACAGTGATTGACTTTTGTCAATTAATACTTGGTTTTACGACTACAAAGAAACCTCTCTTTCTATTTTATTCTGTTTTTTTGTGGTCTCCTTATCTTATCATATCATATGGGCTTTTCTCTCTTGCTGTCTGTGAAAGCCCAAATCATGCCCTCAAACTATTTATAGGCTTCTGTGCGACACTATCCCTTACCTATCACCAAATGCCTGCAATGTAACCATTAATTAATTTAATAATTTATAAAGAAAATAAACAAGAACCCCTGAATCAACTGAAGGCCATAACAACGATAATATTCAGTAAGGTATTTTTTTTTTTTGACTTAACCGTTCTCTGTCTCTTATATGTCTATTTTAAACCATGCAAAGAAGGGATAGAGAGAATTTTAAACCCCTATAAATTAAGAAACCATTTGACGAGCTTGAAACGTTTTTAACAAAATTGGAACGGAATGTTTTGTTAAGTATTAACTTGATCGTTAGTAAGATTAAAAGTACAATGATGTTTAAGAGAAGCTCGTATGGTATGACAACCACCATCTTGATGGAAAGTTGACCCAAGTGATTGAAGGTAGTTTAAAGGAAGGTAACTCATATTTATAACATTTTTTCAAATTTTTTATCATATTATTAATTTTTTGTATTTAAACAAAATTATAAAAAAGCATTAAAGAATTATGATTTGTCTTACAGAAACGATGTTGAAGATTGAGGAAAGTGGTTGTGAGATATGGAAAATGTGGTTGTGGTTTGGCCATTAGAGGTTCGAAAGGGCAACGTTATCTTTATGACATATACGAAGGTACCGAATCATACGCGGCGTGCAACGCGCTCTTTGAAGATTCCCTTTTACTTTGGAACCCTCAGGTATATTCTCTCCATCTGTCACACCTCATACCACTTTTTCTTATATATGATATTTTAAAAATAATATAAATAATTTTTTTTTTAAATTGTAATACATTTTTATAGTAACTTTGAATATTTTTTATGTATTTATTTTTCATATATGATTTTAAGATAGCCATAAAATGAACTTATAAAAGAAAATCTCCTTAAATAAAGATAATTTTTTAAATGAAAATTTTATTTATTTATTCATCGTTATTGTGAAAGAAAACGTTATAAATTTAACATGTTTATATTTATTTATTTTAATTTCGAGATATTTTCTTTTTCTTGACATCCAAACATTTTGGTATATATGATTAGTCACAAGGAATGACTTTTAAAGGTAAATATTATATGGACTGCAAATACCGGCGAATCTTCTCAAAGATAGTCATAAATCATAATCATAATTGGTCATAGTTTTTTCTTTTATTTATATCGAAATAAAATCCCCAAAATCTAAATGGATAAAGACTGATAATGAAAGAAATTAAATTAAATTAAATTAAAGAATATTATTAAGAATTATCCTATATATGTTAATTAATAATTATTTTACCAAAAATCATAATTAAATATATTAATATATGAAATTATATATATAATTTACACTATAATTTTTTTAATTGAAAATAATCTTATTTAAGTTGGATAGAACCATTATAAATAGGAAAGCTTTCTCTTAGAATATTTGATATAATTATATTTATTATGATTCAAATTTAAAATCACATATTAAGGTGAAATAAGTTTCTATTAGTTGATTCACATGTTTAAGAGTAATATACAAAATTTTATATTATTTAGGTATAAGTTTTGAATTAATATATAATAAAATGGTTAAAGAAGTATTACTTATTTTTTAATAATATCTTTATTTGTTAAAATTAATTTTACTAACTATTAAATTAATTACTTTAAAACTATTACAATAAATTTACCATTTTTAATAAGGGTATTTTAATAAATTTAATTTATTTTAATGTGACAATTGATAAAACACCATCTTAAAATGTGTGTATTGATATTAACTGACATTTAATATAAGCTAAGGGAGTATAATTGTAGCAATAAAAACATGATGTATCTATCGCAAAATTAGATATGTTTGTTGGATTTTTTTTATTTATATCCATTTTCATGTTATAAATGAGAGTTTGTCAATTGAAAAGTGAAATAATTAGTATAATTGTTTTTCTTATCAGCTTATTAAATATGTTTATCTTAAAATTAAAATTGAGTAAAAATAATGTGTAAAATACATTCTTTTAATCTTTTTCACATAATTTTTGTTGTTAATTTCATTCTAAATTTTAGAGATTAGAATTTTTATTATTTTATATAAATTTTACATTTATTTTAAAAATTATTACTTATTTGTAAACTTTTAAATTTTGTATAAATACCTATATTTGTTTTTGTTCCATATTTCTTTCTAAATAGTAGCATCGTAACTTCAAATGTTTTTTCTTTCTTTTTTTTTACGAGCTTGATGAGCAAGTTACATGACAATAGATTGAAATAGAGCTTCTCATGGCAGAATTCCACCTAGGAGAGGAGAGGAAAAAGAAAAAGAATATATCACTAATTGTTAAAAATTAGATAATAACTTAATAAATTAATAAAATTTGCTTATTAAAAAAGTAAGAGGACTAAAATTCAATAGACATAAAAGTTAAAGGACTAAAAATACAATACTTAAAAATATGGATCCTTAATCTTATCCAAGTTACAGCTCAATAAAATCTCACGTGATGTTGTTGATATAAATAATTAAGAAATTGAGATGAAAATTAAAAGCAAAGTTATGATAATAAAATCTTTAAACAAATGAGAGATTGAGTAAAATACTGCATCCGTTAAGCAGTTGTAGTATGTTGACTTCAACGTTTCCCATTTGAAGTGATATCAGTAATGCTTTGAAGATGCATTGGTTTAACCATTTGAATTTGCTTTACAAATGCATTAATATTTGAAAGTGTTAATTGCTATTATTCGAATGCAATGGCTGGACATGTTTGAGAAGGAAATCATATTTTTGAATACTTTTTTTAGGATAAGCCAAACTTCACAGTTTAATAATTAATTAGGAAAATTTGATAGAAAAGCTAACTTATTTGTACATAATTTTAGGATTATGTAAAAAAAAAATGAAAAAGGCATGTTAATTCAATCATTTAAATTTTTATTTATCAGAGGAAACAATGAATGAAATGAAAATTGGCATAGGAGACAAAAGAAAAGATAAGAAGAGAGATTGTAAGAAGAAGAGTCTTTGATCTTATCCGAGGAATGGCATGGCGGTGAAGAGAGAGAGAGAAGACGCATTTGCATTTGCATTTGCATTTGCATTTGCCAGCCCACAATTCACTCTAAAGGGAATCACACTCTCCAATCTTCATCCAAACCTCTCTCTCTCTCTCTCCTCACTTTATCTCTTTTTCAAAATAAAATTATCAAATTACACTAAATATTTTTTTTAAGAATTACTCAATTTAATTTATTTAACGTGTACATGTGTATGTTATGATAGGAAGAATTAAAGAATATTCCCTTTTTATATTCAGATATTCATTTAATCAAAAGTTATAGTATTAATGACAAAACACAGGAGAGGGAGTCATGCATAGTAAAATGGAAAAGAGAAGTTCAACCAAAGTATTCTTTAAGTTTTTTACAATGTTATTCTTAATAATTATCATCTATTTGGTAAAATAATAAATAAATGAGATAATTAAACATAATACAGAAAAAATATAATAGAAAATTGATTTTTTTTTTTATAAAACTAAGATATCAATTATTTTATTATTTTTGTGTAAAAATTTAAATGTTAAAAACAATATTTTATATTATTTAAATATATTTGTAACTATTCTTAACGAGTGCTTAATAAAACGATAATAAATAAATAAATATTAAATTGTCATTAAAAATGTAATATTTAATATTTCTAAATAAATTAAATTTTATGGTTTTTTTACTTTTTAATAGAAATTTATTATTTGTAAATTCATTTTTTAATTAAAAATATTATTCTAAAATATTAAATATTTTTTAATATTAAACTATGTGTAACATTAAATATTTTTAGTTATAATAAAAGTATGTATTAAATATTTTTCATAATTTTAAAATAATAAATGTTTTTATATAATTTTTTAATTTTAACTTCTTAACAAATACTCTTAAATACATTTTAAAAAATAAAATAAATTTTTATTTTATACCTTCAAATATATGTTAAAAATATAAATAAAATTTAAACTAAAAAATTACAAAATCTATTTAATAAAAAAAATATTTAAAAGAAATCCTTAAAAAAGGAATTATTAACATTTCTAAATTGAAAAACAAGACAATGGTAATGTAAGGAAGAATATAAAACGCATCAAAGATTCGTTTTTTGTACGCGACGCCCCGACCTCGATGTTTACCCTGGTATCTCTCCACCCTCCGATCACTTTCTCTCTCTAGAAAGTTTATTCCGAATTTTGATTCTGCTTGGATCCCCTAATCTTTCATTGTTGGATCCATTTTCTGTGCGTACTTCGACAAAACGCCATTCCCTATATATTCTCCCTCATCATCTTCATCGAACTGTTTTCCCTCTCACACCCTCAAAACTGAACAACTCACAAACTCATACCAAAAAAGGAAAACAATAGAGGCTCGTTTTAATGCAATTTGCTGAGAAAATGCAACCCCAGAAAATGGGGTTTCGTGAGTACATCGAAGCATTGGAGGAAGAAAGGAGAAAGATTCAAGTTTTCCCTAAAGAGCTTCCTCTTTCATTGGAGCTTGTCACGCAAGGTAAACCTTAAAAATACGAAAAAACAGACACCTTTTGTTGATGCGAACTTAAAGTTTGTTCCTTTTGTTTCTGGGTATGTTTGTTTTGTGTTTTTTAGATTTGGGTTTTGATTGGTCTGTGTTTTTTTCTTTTTTCCTTTGGTGCAGCCATTGAAACATGTAAGCAGCAATTGTCTGGAACGGTTGCTGAGTACAATTTAAATGGCCAATCGGAGTGTTCGGAGCAGACATCAATGGATGAAGGACCTGTTTTTGAGGAGTTCATTCCTATAAAGAAAAGGGAATCCCCAGATTCTGTTGAAGAAGATGATGATGAAGAAGAAGATAATGATGATGATGATGAAGAGCAACATTCTCATAAGCACAAGAACACGAACACCCAGAAATCAGATTGGCTCAGATCTGTTCAGTTGTGGAATCCCAGTCCCCCTCCTTCCAAAGAGGTAAAAAAAAAAAAACAAAATAATGATACTTTTTTATTAAAAAATAAATACCCAATTTAATTTTTGAAAACTTTCCTCAGCCCAATTTAATTCTTCAACAGTCTTTTAAAATTATAATAAATACAAAATATTTTAGTTTTTCAATTAATTAAATATAAAAATTAAAGTATTTTATCTTGATAAGTTTCAAAGACTATAATAATAGCTACATATTTTTTCAGAAATTGAGGTCTCCAGCTTTTTTTAAGACCGATTTGACTATTCATCGAGAAATAACAGTTATTGAATTTGATTCTTGTGGGTTTATTTATGTTGTTGTATTTTATTGGGTTAAGGATGTGCCAAGAAAAACAAATGTTGTGGAAGTGAAGAGAAACGGTGGTGCTTTTCAGCCATTTCAGAGAGAGGAAAGTGGTGTTGGAAAGGGAAATGCATCAGCAAATGGTAAAGCACCCTCTTCACCACCAGTGGCTGCTACAAGTTCTACAGGGCCAGTGAGAGTAGAGAATGGTGGTGGAAGCAGCAAAGGAGAAGAGAAAGGACAGGCTCAGAGAAAGCAGCGCAGGTGTTGGTCTCAGGAATTGCACAAACGCTTCTTGCATGCACTTCAGATGCTTGGGGGTGCAGATTGTGAGTATCTCACAACAAGTTCTGTTTTTGTTTTGTTTGTGTGTCCTAAATGCAATTCTGACTTTGTGTATTGGTTTTTGACATTTGTAATTTGGTGTGTTTTTGTTGCAGCTGCCACGCCCAAACAGATCAGGGAGTTAATGAAGGTTGATGGCCTCACCAATGATGAAGTCAAAAGTCATTTACAGGTTAGTCTAACACTTGGGTCATTTTAATTTTAATTTCTTCGCTCATTTCTATGATCTTGTATAAATATAATTTCCTTTATTGGCCCTTTTATTTTATTTCATTTTCCTATTGTAAATTTCATGAGTTTTATGATTTCAATCTTGGTCTATCTAAAATACTTTTTTGGTTTTTTATGGACAGAAATTTCGTCTGCACACTAGAAGAAGCCCCATAATTCAGAACAATGGTAATTCACAAACAACCCCTTTATTCCTTGTGGGGAACATTTTTGTGCAACCACAAGAATATGGTGCGGTAGCTACTTCAACAGCATCTGGAGGAGGGGAATTGACCACAGTTACACCTCCAACTGGAATTTATGCGCCTGTGGCTTCACACCCTCCACCTGTCACCCACACACCAATCAAATTTAAGCAATTAGAGGTGTCTCACTCTCAGCATTCACATTCTGAAGAAGAAAGGGCTAATCACAGTGAAGGGGATGTTCATTCAAATTCCCATGCTTCCTCATCCTCCACCCCAACTTCACCTGCCTCTTGATTTTTATAATGCTGTAAAGAAAATTTTGTAACCTATTTGTAGTGGAAAACTAATCCTTTAATTACCTTGTGTGTTATTACTATTCTATTCTTAGTTTTTTTTAATATAAATTTTGTAGTTAAGAGTAGTTCTTCTTGCTAACTAGTAACTATAATAACTTTTAACACTTTTAATAAAAATTTTCTAGCAAAATTAATTTATTTGATCATAATATAGTTATTTTTGAAAATATATGTATGAATTATAAGTGATATTTAATATAATAGTGGAGATATATCTAATTGAGCATAATAATGACGAGTGAGCTGGTAATTTAGGGGTGGGTGGTCCAAATATTTGTCTTGTTTATTGGGGTGTAGTGAGTATGATGGGGTTAATAGGATTGTAGTGGCTTGACGATTCTGAAGGAGAGAATCCGAGAATATCCCACAGAATATGCAATGAACACAATGGCCAAAATTTAATTTCACGTTTGACAACATCGTATGCATAGGACAAAGAAGTTGCAGATATATATCAACTGTGAAAATAACTTCAGCTACCAATATTGCTGGCCACCGCAGTTTAAAAAGCCGAAAGACTCTGAATATGATATAGTAATATGATGTGACCAGATATCAATTATTAAAGATTGCAGCAAAGATTAGTATTGTTTGTGGGTGGTGAAAATTGTGAAAGAGTGTAAAACAAAATAAGGTCAAATAAGGTCCTAGATAGTACTTCATTTCAACTAGGTTTGAATATTAAAGATTTTTTTTACAAATATTAATTATTATTTTTAAATTTTAATTAAGAGATAAAGTATTTATGTGAAAAATCAGGATAAATTACAAACATATCTCTTGATTTAACAAAATTTGGCTTAATACCTTTTTTCTTAATATTATTTTAAGGTCTTTCAATTTATATAATTGTAAAATAAACACCAAAAACATGGATCAACTAGTAGGAAGTTCTCTAACTTTATTTATATAGTCTTAAATTCGAGATTAGTGAATATAAGTTGTATTAAGAGTTTTGCCACCTACAATGGTTTTATCTGATTCGAATATTATTGCTTCTAATAAAAAAAAAATACCTATGATCTAAACCAAATATAAGTACAAAATAATAGTAATAATAATTTGTAATTGAAACTCATAGACTTTAGGTAAACTCTCATAAAAGTCTATAAGATTATAAGTGTCGAGGATATTAATTTCTAAAATTTTAAAATGAGTTTGTTAATTTTGTTTAGTATTTTTTTATCATAATCATGATAATCTTTTCTAATGTATCATGTTACGTGATATTTGGAATTACTGTTGTAGTTAAAATTATCATATTTTACATATTTGACAAGCGTTGCGCTTAAAAAGTTATAAATTTTTTATTCATTTGACGTTAAAAAATAAATATAGGTTATTGAGACATTCAAACACTTCTTTATATCACAAGTCGATGACTTTGTCTTTGGCATTTTTTCTAAAATCCTTTTGAATTGATATAGGCATTATCCTCTTTAGTAACAACCATTGTCACTAACTCTCCTTTCATCTTTGGTGAGATAATTGAACACTCAGTCAATACATTCTCAAAAGCATTGAAAGATGTCAAATTTGTTAAAATCCATTGGTGAATCATTACCAAGTCAGAATCTTTTCATTTATTTTGCGTACAAAAATGAATATAGATTATCGAGACATTCAAATACTCCTTAATGTGACAAGTTAATTACTTTGTTTGACATTTTATTTAGCGTCATTGAAGAAAGCAAAGAACATACATTATGGATTTAACCAATTTCTAACTACATCAAATGTTTAAATCTGATATAGACACTTTCCTCTTTCTTAAGGACCTTTGTCACAAACTCTCATTTTATCGTTGGAGAGAGAATTGAACGCTAAATCAACATCTTTTTAAAAGCATTGAAAGATTCTAAATTTGTTAAAACTCATTGGTGAATCATATCAAGTCACAATTTTTTCATTCATTTGGCGTACAAAAATGAACGTGGGTAACCGAGACATTCAAACGCTTCTTTATGTGATAAGTCAATGACTAGGGAACTTGTAATGACATTGCAACATAAAATAGTACTTAAAGATGAGAAGTAAGAAATAATTATAAGATGTTAGGATTTGAGAAAAAAAAATTAGTTTAAGTAAATTTAATATTTGGCTTGACTAATTTTGTATAGGAGACAATTCAATCATTTTAATTTGTAGGAATTTGAGTAAAAAATGAGATTAAGAATTTTAGGTAGAAGAAAATATATAAGAATTTATTTTTTTAAGAAAAAATTAATTAACTGAAAAATTAAAAACTAAAATTGCATATAATCTATTTTAGAGATAAAAAAAACATACTTAATGTTCGTTATTATTGATAAGGTCCTCAAGTTTTTCCTCTTTGTTTCATTAACTTTACAAATTTAACAAAAGCTTCTCACGACAAGCAATTAAAAAATTTGGAACACATTTTTTATTCCAAATTTTTTAATTGAAGTGGTAGATTCTCCATGGAATGGAATCTAATGTATCGAACTGTCCGTTAAACCCCTTATTTTTGGACACATGTCAATTACATATTAACAATTAATAAGCTGTTTTTTTTTTTATTATTATTACAGACAAATTTTATGTAAACTTTTTTAAGTGCTGTTGATATCTTTTATCATTCAAAATTAAAATTTTATTTCGATAGTATATAAAAATATCAAATACAAAATTTTAATTAAAATGATTTTTTTTTTTTGCTAATTAACGGGGCAAAACGCCCATTAAAATGATTTTTAACTTTTTATTTATAAAATACATTAATAATACTTAAAATACTAAATAAATTTTATTCTTATATTATTCCTTGTTGTTTGTATGTATAACCTATAGGGAGAAATTATATATAGTAAAATTTTATTAAAAATAATAAAATTTAATGTCATAATATTATTAAATATTATAATTTTTTAAATAAAAATTGTATATATAATTTTTTATTTTATATAATGTTGTGCATGAGGAAAAAAATTAAAATAAATTGAAAGTGTTGTGCTTATTTTTGAAATACTTTACAGAGTAATTTGATTTATCTTTAAAAATGATAATAATAAAAAAAGTCGATGAAGAAGCTTTAGAATTTGCGTAAAAAAAAAAAATATGATTCTTTATTTTCTGTTAAAAAAATAGACTATGTAGTTTTACGATGACAAAACAAGAGGAACTTAAAAAGTATTAAACATGTGTTTTCTAAATGTTTAAATTATTAAAATTAAATATTAAATAATTTGAAAATTTTACTATATTTATATTTTTATTAAATATTTTACTTTATTTCCTTAATATATACTTAAAAATGCACTAGTTAATACTATCATATTATCTTTGTCATGTCATCCAATTATCATAAAGTCTTTTTGTTTATTATTTAATAATTATGATGGATCCAATATATTTATTCACTTAACATATAAAAATTTGATTTATTTTTTTAGAAAAATAAAATATTTTTGAAAACATTAAAACTAAAAAAAAAAATTCAATAAAATATGAAGTATACTTTTTTATCTTCACAACAAGATCCAATTCTATACTCCATCAAATATGATTCAATATAAATTTCTAAAATATGTTTTCTACATTTGAAGAAATACCCTTTAAATTTTTTAGGTGTATCTTTTAGATGTGTATAAATATAAAAATATGTATAATATTAAGTTTTATTAGTTCAGATAACTAAGATGAACCAATGAAGGTTGGTCTGAGTGACAAGCGACTTAGTATCGCTTAAGCAAGGTTTTGAGTTTGAGTTTTTATGTATGCAAAATTTTTTTAGTATTAGACTCATCCACCACATCCAGGTGCGCGAGCCAGGTCGAATCTAGATTAAATCAAATGGGAAACTAAAAGAAAAAAATAAAAAATAACCAAGATGAAAATTCTATTCTACTTGCTTTCTTTTTTTTCTCTTATTTTACATGTGTACACAAATACACATATATAATGAGAATAATTTTTATTTTAAAAATATAAAGATCATAAATTTTAATTATTATTTATAAATAATTAAAGATAAAAGTTAGTTAAGAAGTATTTCTTTAAGATTTATTAGGTGTGAAGTTACACAGTTGATGATTGATTTCTAGAATATTTTACAGGATTGGTTTGTCCCCTCTTTTAGTTTGTTTTCTACACTCAACATCCTTTGCACTAGCTGTGCAATCACACTACACTCAACTTTACACCAAATGACCTTAAAAAGCACAAGAAATAAGAAGAATGTAAATGGAAATTGCATAGGCTCAAATGCATGGAAGGTCAAAATTATCAATTGGCCAATCTCACTAAATATATTGCGTGTTAGGTATGGTTTCTTGTTAGATATTCCATTTTAAATTTAATTCCCATGCAACTCATGAGTTACTCCACAGACCTGTAATAATATATGTGTTGACACTCAAATAATAATATTCCCTCTTATCAGATGGCTAAACCCAAATCTTCTCTAATTGATTTCTTACTTATTTTATTAATGTCAATTTATGGTATTAATCAAAGTGAGATTTATTCCAAAACGTGATCTTTCGAGTTTATGTTTATTCCATCCTGCTTCACAGAGTGGATCACCTTGTCTCCCAATTCCAATTTACAAACATTATATTCTTATTCATGTTGTACTTGTAGATAAAACCCCTTTACACAAAAGCCTTTATGTAAAGTGAAGTTCAACTCTTACTAGGGGTTGTGCTGTGTCAACAATGAAGGAAAAATTTCATGCTAGATATAATGGCTAGTGTTTGAACCAAATAGACTAATACTTGGACACGGAATTAAGATGTGTAACTAGTGGTAATTTTGCAATGCCTTAAAGTGTCATTGTTAAAAAGATTTTCCATGACCCTTTTGGCTTCGAGGGGTTCCTTAATTAATGGATTTAACTTTGACAAATTTACCTGTTCAATCTGGTGCTGAGTAGATTCAGATCAGGGTTGGTAATAAGTAGATGCAGCAAGCCAAACAAAGCACTGAAATGAGTATAATCCATCTCAGCCTAAAGAAAACTTTATTTTTTCTAGTTAAGTGCTCATTAAGTTTTGAATTTTGATTTTGTAAATCGTGAATAGCCAGGTATTTTCATTT